ATGGAAGAAGAAAAGAAGAAGGGAGAAGGAGGAGGAAGTTGCATCTCAAGTTCCCTCAAATTGGGTATAGGTTAAAGTTTTTTTACGAAGTGGGCCCAAATAAATAGCAGAGTACAATTAAGTAGGAGGTAAAAAATTGAGTAATTTTCACAAAGCGCTATAGTTTAGAGCCTAGTAACTATATTTTGCTTAATTGCAGGGGTGTATACAAAGGATACAACTTGTATCGATTGTATTCATTCGCGCAACGAATACAACTAAGGCGAAATACAAAAATACAGAAAAATAAAATGCTCTTGTTGAGATTCAAACTCAATAGCTCTGTTAACTAAGCGGTTTCTCTAACCAACTGAGCTACAGAAAAATAAAATGCTCTTATTTCAGTTCAAAACAAATAATCTCTTGTTTTATGAATTTGCTATAAAATTCAAATATAGCTACAGAATGATAAATTTGCTGAGAGTATAGCTACGAATGATAATTCTGTATATATTGATGTGTCGCGTAATTTTTCCTAAAAACACATATCTTAGATATTATGGAGTAAAATAGGACCCGAGACCCCACCTGTTGGGAATATACGGGGGTTGTTGTTGTTGTTGTGATGGAGTAGAATAGGAGTAATAAAGATGATTACCTTTCTTAAATTATTATTTGTCTGGATACCAATTCTTCTGTGATAATCTTATATTGCTAAACTACAAAAGAACAAACTATTGGTTAACGTAAACAAATTTTGGAAAAAAAGATTAATCGAACCTACTATCACAGGGGTGATTTATGTCACTCGAATTCTGTCCGAGGTTCACCACCATGCAGCAGTCAAGCCCAACCATGACTTCAGTCTTTCCAACACTAAGAATTATTTTAGGACGTCTGGGACTTAGAATAAATTTTAGGCGGCAAGAAAAGTAAAGGCACATACGAATTTACAGGAGTTTCTTCCCAACTCGTATTAATATGTGAATACACGAATACAATAAAGCCAACCTTATGGCCAAGAACAAAGAACACCCTAGTTCCCTGCGCCAAAACGAATTTCCCACTCTTAGGAATTACACTTAGATGTTTTTGGCTAACACTTTGTCACAAGACTATGTTTCTGCCCATTTAGGACAGCCTTATGCACATATTTATAGTGCAGGCTGACCAATTACACTTGGCAGTAGTTTAGACAATCAGTTGACAAGCTCTAACTGATGAGTAAACATAGAGAACATGCTAAAAACATGTATCACTAAGCCATACAATTAGCCATGATAAAACATGTGCATCAACTTAGCCCCATGATCAGTCATGCTTGGATGTGGCAGTTGTAACCGCTCAACTGCCATGTCATGTGCACTACATGTTCTCGTTTTGGCCAACTGCTGCACGCCCAAGGATGGCATTGCACCCAACCTTTCCCTTTGACACTACTCCGCCCCAATGTCATGACCACAGCTTGCTGCCCATTGACTTAGCCACACACGCCCATTGCCACAGCTACCCGCCTATGTCAAGTCGCCCTCAACTTGATCAAATATGCCCACGTTAATGTCATTTCTTGTCTTGCCTTGCCTTGCCTTGCCATGTATTGGCCCCTACTTTGACATGGCTTTGCCTTGCCATTGTTATGCCAACCCGCACGTCCATATGAAATGCGCCTTGCCTCCGTCAAGGTGTGTTTGTCAATCCCGCATAGTCTGTCATGCCAAGCTGCCCGTCATGATGTTTCCCCATTTTATAGGTTGTGTGTCAAGGCCAACATGAAAATCCTTGTCACAACCCATATCTGTCGGCGAACTTTGTCAAGGGGCTAACAAACCACCCCCACCTGAAGAATTTATCGTCCTTGACGAAGTAGTTTTCGCATTTTCTGCACCACCATAGGCCCTAAATATGCCATCTCCTGCTCATGTTCTTCCTTGTTCGGCTCATCTTCACCTTTTCATCAGCAAACAAAGTTGTAGCCGTTCAAGTTTTGGATAGTCCCTCGCTGTGTGTAGTCCTTTACAAATAAAACAGCCATCAAACTTGTTGTTTTGTCCCTTGTTTGTCGAAGGTCCAGCACATTGCTCTTCCTTCCTGTTGACATTGCCCTCAACAACATTACCCTTGTCATTCCTATTTTTCCTACACTTTTTTGCCTTGTCCTTGTTCCCGTTTTTGGACTTTGAAGTAGTAGAGAAATCAGAACCATCTTGTCCCAGCAGGAAATCACCCAATGCATCCGCAACAGCGATAACACTAGGAAGGTCTTTCACATTCTGCCTTCGAAGTTCCATCTGCGCCCATAACTACAACCCGTAAATGAAATTGTGCAGCTTGTCGTCCTCATACATGTTGCTTATATCCAGCGTCAAAGAACTGAAATCTTTGAATAATCCCTGACCGTTCCAGTTTTTTTAACCCTCTTCAAACGATCTCTAGCAATCCAGCCCGCATTGCTAGGAAAGAATTTATCTTTCAACTCTTTTTTCAGCCCTTCCCAAAAGTCAATCTTAGGTTTACCATCACTTACATCGTCTTCCATGCGCGTCCGCGATTAAAGCTTAGCATCATCCACCAAGTACATTGTCGTAATGGTGACCTTGTCTTCATTTCGCACATGAGCAGCCTGAAAGTACTACTCCATATCCCATAGGAAATTTTCGAGTTTCTTGGCACTCCTTGCACCATTAAACTCTTTAGGCTCAGGAATTTTGAACTTGGTACGATCTGCCCCGTGCTAGACATCATCATTGCCAACAGTACGACGTAGCAACCCATTTTCCTCTTTCAGATTTGTGCACTCTTGGCTCAGCCTGTTCATCTTTACCTCAAGATAGGCAAGACGAGTAACAATAGTCAGAAATTGTTCACCATCAACAATTCCGACGAGTGCCTCCAATGCAGCAACTTTTTCCCTCAGTTCTGCGTTACCACCAGCCATCTTTCACGAAATTCAACCACTAAATGTCGTGTCTTTGCCCCGATCCATCCACGCTCTAATACCAATTATCACATGGGTGATTTATGTCACTCGAATTCTGCCCGAGGTTCACCATCGTGCGGCAGTCAAGCCCAACCTTGACTTCAGCCTTTCTAAAACTTAGTATTATTTTAGGACGTTTGGGACTTAGAATAAATTTTAGGCAGCAAGAAAAGTAAAGGCACGAATTTACAGGAATCTCTTCCCAAGTCGTATTAATATGTGAATACAAGAACACAATAAAGTCATTCATATGGGCAAGAACAAAGAACACCCCAGTCCCCTACCCCAACACGAATTTCCCACCCTTAGGAATTACACTTATACGTTTTTCGATAACACTTTGCCACAAGACTAAGTTTCTGCCCGTTTGGGACAGCCTTATGCACATATTTATAGTACATGCTGCCCAATTACACTTGGCAGCATTTTAGACAATTAGTTGACAAGCCCCAATTGATGAGCAAACATAGGGAACATGCTAAAAACGTGTATCACTAAGCCAGACAATCAGCCATGATAAAAAACATGCATCAACTTAGCCCCATGATCAGCCATGCTTGGATGTGGCAATTGTAACCGCTCAACTACCTTGTCATGCGCAATGCATATGCTTGTTTTTGCCAGCTGCTGCACACCCAAGGCTGGCATTGCACCCAGCCTTTCCCTTTGACACTGCTCCGCCCCAATATCATGACCACAACTTGCCGCCCATTTGACTTAGCTGCACACACTCATTGCCACAGCTGCCCCTATGTCAAGTCGCCCTCAACTTGATCAAATCTGCCCACGTTAATGTCATTGCTTGCCTTGCCATGTCTTGGCCCCTGCTTTGACATGACTTTGCCTTGCCATTGATGCCAACCTGCATGTCCATGTGAAATGCGCTTTGTCTCTGTCAAGGTGTGTTTGTCAACTCCTCATAGTGTGTCATCCCGAGCTACCCATTATGATGTTGCCCCATTTTTCAAGTTGTTGTGTGCCAAGGCCATCATGAAAATCCTTGTCACAACTCACATTTGTCGGGGAACTTTGTCAAGGGGCTAATACCTACCATTCCATCACAATAAACTTTATAGTCACATTATTAGTTGTACTTGTTGTTCAGTACCAGTTTAGCTGAAATTTCTAACGGCTCTTTCTCAAAAAGGAGAATATTCCACATAGGCAAGTAGGGTTTTAATTGCCACATAAATTCCATTCCTCCCACTATTCGCTGTTGTTTGCCGAAACCTAGTACAGTACTAATACTCTGTTTGGATCATTGTTCCCCGTCGTTTTATAATGTATTGTATTGTATTGTATTGTATCGTTTTATAAATACAATGTTTGGATAGATTGTATTGTTCGTTATTGTTAAATAATATTTTGCTGTTTGGTTTAACTGTATCGTACTGTACTGTAACTGATAAGTTTACTAAAATACCCTTAATTATTTAAATATTAAATTTATCAAAAATTATGCATAAAATAATTTTAAAATATAAAATAAAATGAGGCAAAACACCTTAAGAAAGCAGAACAAAGGAGCGAGACAGAAGAAGGCAAAACAAATGAGCACATCTAATTAAAATTGAGTTAAAAGCAAATTAGGAGAAAAAATAAAACAGAAGGCGCCAAAACACCTTTAACGTTGGCGGTAGAAGTTCTGGAAAAAATAAAGTAGATTATAGGTTGGAGATTTGGAGTTAAAATAGAAAAAAAGGTAAAGGATAAAATAGAATTGTGGAGTAATAACTGAGGGCATAATTGGAAAGAAAAGAAGGAAACAATCTCACTACACCAAATCGGTTGTTTCAAAAAAGGGGACTTTTTGTTATTCCGGAACAATGAATTTAACAATACAATACAATCAATTTTGATAAAACAATCAAAACAAACATTGTTTTGGGATAACAATACAATACGATGGAACAACCATCCAAACAAGCGTGTAGTGTCAATTTCACAACACAACATCAAAGAAACCGAAAATGGAGCAAACATTAATTATGATCAAGCCTGATGGTGTCCAGCGTGGCCTGGTTCGTCTTCATTATTACTACTTTCTATATTTTGTTTTCAAATAAGTATCTTTTGTATTCATAACTTAGCGTTTCGATTTCAAGCAATTGATTTTCTGTTTGTTGAGCACTAAACTACTTCTTTCTCTGTTTTAACTTTTGTGATATAGTCGACTCGAGACGGGATTTGAGAAGAAATAAAAAAGACTACTTTTGTATATGTGACAAGTCCTTCCCAAATTAAAGTAAAACTATTGCCAAATGTAGAAATGAGTTATTCTTTTTTAAACAACGGAGGTTATAGCTTACAAATTTCGTATGTGGGTGTCTATTTTATTCGTCCAGAATCCTAAAAGATGGAAAAGAATAAGAAAGAATGGAAGTTTGATTCTTTGACTTATTTCTTAATTTTTTGATCTCAGGTGGGTGAGATTATTGGAAGATTTGAGAAGAAGGGTTTCTATTTGAAAGGTAATATATTTGCCCTCTTTCAGGAAAGGTCTTTCACTTTTCCCATTTATGGGTAGTAGGACAATTTGTTGTATGTTACCCTTCCATTACGGCAGTAGAAAGCTTGAGATGCTGAAAACTTTTAGTCTCAGAAAATATTTTCTCCAAAATCTCTTAAAACCCATGTGAACTTAGCGAAAAAATAGACCAACTAGTTGTGAATAAGTTTTAGTCAAGTTAGTACGTTTAGATCTTATGTTTCTAGGAGTCTTTCAGTTGTATCACGGATTTGTATGCCAGTAGAAAATGTAGCGGACTTCTAGCGCTTTTTTTATTTCTATTTTGATTTTATACAATATTTGCCTAAGATGAGCTTGAATGGAGCGACATAGTCAATGAGGACTTGTCGCTCTTGCTGTACTAAAATGAATTTAGTCGACCATTATAATTTAATGTCATTGTTATTATTCATTTGCAATGTGGTGACTCTATGGTAGTCCATTCGCACCAACCTAATAAATACATGACATATTTCTTCCGAAACATGATTATCACTAAACCATAGTTAACTAATAGTACACATTTTCACTTTATTTTATCACTTAGCCATGGTAAATTAGTCTGATAAACACCCAGTATGAATAAGTTTTTACCTTTTCATGGCCACATGTAGATCAGCAGTTAATATCTATGCAGATTTAGTAAATATTTTTTCCATGTTCAAAGAGATTGGAATTGATGTCTTTTTTTGTATTTCCCTTATAGTAGTTTGTTTACAGTTTATATAATTACTTCGTTAAGATGATTGTGATCTCTTCTTATACCAGAAATTTTTTTTAATAGACTTAGATGTTCTGATTATTTGTTTGAACTGAACCTGTATGGCCATATTCTACTCCTTTTGCATATAGGGTTGAAGTTTATGACCGTGGATCGTGCTTTTGCTGAAAAGCACTACGCAGACTTGTCTGCAAAGCCTTTCTTCAATGGGCTTGTCGATTACATTGTGTCTGGCCCCGTTGTGGCAATGATCTGGGAGGGTAAGGGCGTAGTTTCAACTGGCAGGAAGCTCATTGGAGCAACAAACCCCTTGGAGTCTGCTCCTGGAACCATTCGTGGTGATTACGCCATTGACATTGGAAGGTATTTATTCAGTCGCCAGTCTAGCATTTGTGCATATTCTTGATTAACCTTCATTGAATTCAGCAATCAAAAATTGGAACTGCCTGAGAGCAATAAAATCAATATAGTGAAATCACTTAAATGTTAACTATCAATCTCTGGTTCCTTTTTTGGCTTTAGTTATCCAATATCCATGCCTAGTTTGGATTTTTTATTTTATCTCTTTGACTCTATCAATTAGTTACCATGATACCTGAAGTTTGGTGTTCTGCATCGATATCAGCTGTGATGTCCAAATAATCAGCTGATGATTTTATTATCATATCTACTGTATGTTTTTACATTGGTTGAGATGACCAAGAAATTGGTATACATGCCATTTCACCTCAACTTGTTTAGCTGGGAATAAAAGACAAACCTATTTGGTTGCAGGAATGTTATTCATGGAAGTGATTCAGTTGATAGTGCACAGAAGGAAAAAGATCTTTGGTTCCCTGAAGGTATTAATTGGTGGCGTCCCAGCCAACACTCTTGGATCTATGAGTAAAAAGTTTTATGACTACAACTATAACTCTATTGATGGCTTCTGAGTGTCTGTTGTACTTGTAGCGTATGGATTTTGATGACTGTGAAGTGAGTGTAGTAAGTTTTGGTGTTTCAGATTTTGTACTTTAATTCCGTGTCAAGGAGACTAATTATGTCTAATTCTTCAAGTTTATCATCTATAACTTCACAGTTGTCGCTTGGAGTGTATTGCTGCGGATTGTTATGAATGTCGAAGACCCTAATGTGGCTCTGTTTATTTGTTTATGCCAAGTATTCTTTTATAACAATAAATTTTGGGCTCTTGGGGAAAATTCGAAGATTAAAGATCTGTACTGTTGGTTGAAAATTTTGAGAGAAAAAAAAAAGATGGGAAGTTTAACACCTATCTGAGGAGGGAGTAAAGATTAAAATGCTGAATTTACCCTCTACAACATACCTCATCGAATGTGTTTGTTTCATTTGATTGCTATTTTTGATGGTCGGCTTCTAGTGGGAGGGGAAAAAGAAGAAGAAATTTCATTTTGGCTGAATGGACAATCAGCAATTTTTTCAAAGGGGTTAAGAGGAGAACAATGACCTGACAAGGGTTGTATTTACTATGTGGTAGCAAACAATGGTTAGTTCTTGATAAGGGGGCAAATTCAAATAGAGTGAGTTTATGTTAGGGGGGATACAAAGGTAAGGGAAATTCACTAAGTAGTTGGAAATGAGGATAGGCTATTGTTTTTATAAGATGTTTGTAGTTGGAGGACTTGCTGTAGGCAGGATTCCTGGGGGATTCAGCTGGTTTATGAACCTTAAATATTCCAGTATTGTGGTCTTACACAATGTGTCTTCCAGAACTGAAGCATTCGAACCAACATGTCAAGCTGGCACATGTATGGGAACATTGACACATCATGCATCTAAGGGTGTGGCCTAGCAATCAATAAAGTGAGTTAAAACCTTGTACATCAACATTGAAATCCTTATAGACACAGGACGCTAGGTAATTTCTTCCCATTAGCCTAAGCTTTCGTGACAAAGTTAACGGGTAGATGTGCTGATAAGGATAACAAGTACCCAATGAACAGTTGAGGTGCGCACAAACTAGTTCGGACATTATCATTATCATTATCATAACAAAAAAGAAAAACAATGACACTTGTTTCACATCAGCCAATAGAGGCGAAACTTCAAAATTGATTAAAGCTAGACACGGGTATTGAGATTAGCTAGCAGCTAGGTCCATCTAAAGTACAGGTGAACAAAGTATAATTTCTCTAACATTACCAAGAACATGCACTGGAGAAACCTGTTATGTTTACCTCTAAGAAATCACCACAATGTGAACGAGGAAGAGACCCACAACCTAGCATCAAAATGCAACATCCAATTCTAACAGAACTGGGAGTAACACCATAGAACACCACGACGTAAGAACAAAACCAAAGCATGTCACAGAACTTGCATGAAAATCATTTCCATTTTTCGAGATGTCATGAATACAAAAACTATAAAATGTCATGACTACAAAAACTATCGACTAAGAAGTCGGTATGAGGGCAAATCTTCCAACCGTGTTATGTCTTCTTGCAAAAGCTCCCTTTCAATTTGTCGACGAGTGGACTTCATAACTGTCTGCATGAAACAAAGCATATCTAAACATCAGGAATGCAGTACACTTAGTACACATGAAGAAATAATTTATGAAAAGGTCAGTTCTCAAGAAAACATTAACTGAACTTAGTGACTGAAATATAATTAGATACTGAGAATGTATCTGAGTACAGATAAAACTACAAATAACTTTACGAACCATTCTTCACACAGAACTTCAAACTATTAAGCAGAAAGCAAAACTGACAGCTATATTATGCAGGCAAGAATACTGCAAGTGATAGCTGAACTAAAACTTTTATTTTCTTTAGATAACTGAAATCCCTGAGAGCCAGTGGTGCAATTTCCGAAACCGGGTGGATAATGGGTCACCCCTCTACCCTTCTTCACTTAAATATGATACTTCTGTCAGGGTTTGAACCAGTAACTTGAACCCTAACCCACACATCACCCGTTCTACTCTTACCATTAAATCAAAGCCTGGGGGCTGTTGAGCTGAAACTTTTAAGAAGCATATAAACTCCTAAAGTATGGGAACTTTTATGAAAGCATATGGTACAGGGATATGACATGAGAAGAATTGAATTATGAAGAAATGAACTTACATATCCCCAACTAAATCTCACTAATTACGCATACAATTCATAAAAAATTAAAGGCACATACATTGAAGTCCATATATGATGCGTGCATGGCGAGCCACTGATTATCCATCAGCTTAAACGTGATACAATATAGCAGATCAAATGCTGATTCATTTTCTGTACAAAGGCAAAAGACATGCTTAGAAGGCAAATGCAAAACAGCAGAAGCATTAAATGGACAACACTTAAGGGGTTGACTAATGGAAATGAGGTAGATCTTCAGATCACGGTCAAGCATTTACCTGCAAGAAATTTCAAAAAAGTTGCTCCGACCAGATTTCTTGGTTTTACTGTAAAGTTGATGCATAATTAGCTAAATGAATCAACACAAAATCTCCTAGATCTTAGATTTGTCTTAGAGTTTCTACATTTTGCAGTAAAAAAGATAATAGAAGGAATACGTACTAGCTTCTAGATCAAGCATCTGGATAAGCATAAAAGTGATGTTAACACCAGCAACAGCAAATGGGTATTCCCATAATGCCCTATCACCTTCCTGCTTTTGAAGAAGATCCTGGAATGATTTCTGCAAATAACATTAGGGAGAAGAAGAGGATGAATAGTGGATCTAGAACATTACTGCTAGAATTTGGCTCAAGCACAGAAGAGTTGTTCATAATTATTTGTAAACTTGATCATATACAACAACAACAACAACAACCAAGTGGAATCCCACAAGTGGAGTCTGGGGAGGGTAGTTTGTAAGTAGACCTTATCCCTACCTATGAAGGTAGAGAGGCTGTTTCGGAAAGACCCTCGGCTCAAGAATGTAAAAAACATGGAGCAATATAGAAACAATAGCAACAACAATGTAATTAGACGGTGTAAGCAAATAATACAACGAATAATGACAGAGATCCAAGGAAATGAAACAAGAATAGTGTCAATATCACTGCTAATACTGACATACCGTATATAAACAAGGGAGTAGGAATAGGAAGGTACCCCACTAGTACAACTACTACTAGTAATACAAGGCAAACTCTAGACTGTCAATCAACCCACCATCCTAATTTTCGACCTCCACACCTTTCTATCGAGGGTCATGTCCTCGATAAGCTGGAGCAGAGCCTAACCGGGGCATCAGCGTCTCTCCTCTTCACATGACCAAATCATCTCAGCCTTGATTCCCTCAACTTCTCTTCCACAGGGACCACACCCACTTTGTCCCTAATATATTCATTCCTAATCTTATCTTTTCTGGTATGCCTACACATCCATCGCAACATCCTCATTTTTGCTACTTTCATCTTCTGGGCATAGGATTTCTTGACTGGCCAACACTCGACTCCATACAATATGGCCGGTCTAACTACTGCTTTGTAGAACTTGCCCTTAAATCTAGATAAGCAAGCCTCCATTTCAACCACCCCGCTCCTATACGGTGTGTGACATCCTCGTCGATCTCCCCGTTACTCTGTATAATAGACCCAAGATATTTGAAACTATCTCGGGATGACTTGGGTATCAAGCTTCACGTCCACTTCTGGTTCATGTGTCCCAATACTGAACGTACACTCCACATATTTTGTTTTTGTCCTGCTCAACTTGAAACCTTTAGATTCCAAGGTCTGTCACCACACCTCCAGCTTAGCGTTAACCTCACTGCCCGTCTCGTCAATAAGCACTATATCATCTGCAAATAACATACACCATGGCACTTCCCCTTGTATGTTACGCGTCAACACATCTATCGCTAGGGGAAATAAAATGGGCTAAGAGTTGATCCCTGATGCAATCCCATCATCACTGGAAAAGTAAACTTGATCATATGGTTTTGGAAATTTATTTCCCTTTTTTTAAACAAAATGAAGCAAGGAAATTGCTCGATTCATCAGTCTAAACATTACATGCTCCAGATACAACTCTTGGCTAGAATGACTTGTTACATGCAAGCTCAACATTTAGGCCTTGAATTATGTCAGTAGACTACCGGACGTAGTCAGCTACACTTGTGCTTGTATAAACTTGTTCCAAAACAAAATGCCTCATTTTTGTCTTATGGTAAAAGTGCTGAACAACCATACAGTTAGTGTGAAATGTGGAATCTACTCCATATCCAATGTCACCCAAATGCGAACTATTTCAACACATGAAAGGGTGAAAATTCATTGCCTAGCCAAAATAGTAGGCTTCTTTTGTATCATACCAGTATGTACCTCAATAAAAATCAACAAAGTCAATGAAAACCCACTAAAAAAAGAGTAACTTTGATGTTTAACTAAAAAGCTTACATTATGAGTCAAAAGTATATGATTTATTCAACTAATAAAGTGATTATTCTGAATAAATTATTAAGTTAGAATAAGATATAGAAGTGTTTAAAATGTAAAAGAGTAAAATGATTAGTTGAAAAGCTATCACATGGAGATTAAGACAGTAATGGTAGTAGTATTACTTATAGGAAGAAAAAACTAGTATCAGTTCATGCTCTTATTATTAGTTAAAAAAATTTGTAATAAGAAAATTATCCCAAAAAGGAAGGGAATGAGAGCAAGTATATCGCGATGGCCAAAAGGAAAAACGTAGGCCAAGTATTTTGGTCAGAGTAAGAAATAGATGGAATAATCATGAATTACATTCTTTAATGAGCTAAGTAATTTTAGATCATAAGCTTTTCAGCAAATAGTAAGAGAAACATTTAATGAAAAGTACTCATAGGACCATGACCAATATTCTAATGTCAAAAATCTTCCGCCTCTCTAATCTTTGAGCAAAGTCAAGGCAACTTTTTGAGGTAGAGAAAAAAAATAACGACAAGAGAGAATTTCCAGTATCAGGTAAAACAAGGTGGATAATGTCTTTTGTTTTGGGTTTAGCTGGGAGGGAGATTACAGACAAGATTTCTTGTATTTCATTCATGTGCTAAATAAAGAATGCTTTCTGATTTAGTATACAAACGTAAATGTCAGTGATCAACAGGCAACCATTCCAAGAAAACACATCTGCGAAATTGGTGGTAATTATTTTGAAAACTTTATCAAACATCTTATACCAGGGATATAATGCAATACAGGCACACTCCTAAAACATCAGATGAATATGTAATACGTTGATGTGGCCAAATTCATGCATTGTCATCGTCAATTCGTGCAGAGAAAGTTCTGCCAAAAATTGGCCGAATTTCTAATTACACACTTATTCTTTGGGGGGGTCCTATTACCCCCTGAACTAATTATTATCCCCTTAGAGCTGATGTGGCAGAAGAGAGTGTATGTCACCCTTTTTGAGAGAGTGAGAAAGGAGAAAATGTTAAAAATTTATTTTTATAACATTTCTTTTTATTAAATATACAATTTTTCTATTTTTTTCTTTTTATTTTTTCTTTTCTCTTTCTTTCTTTGCTTTTTCTATTCTTTCCTCCACCTTCGTTGCTTATAAGACTTGGCTGGAAAATAGTTCCGGGCTTCTGGCAGCCTCCATATTCTCCGACAAGATGGAGTAATAGGTTTCATTCTTTTTCTCTCCAGAATTCCTTCTATCTCATGCCACAACTGCACCAGCATAGAGTATTACTGCCATTTCTTATCTCTAGCTCTACTCATCATTTTTAAACTTCTAATAACAATTGCTTCTCACTAGCAGAAATTGAAAAATCTAAGTCTCAAAAATCAATTTCCGATTTAACACAGAAGAAGCCACGAAAGTTTCCTTCATCAGTTCACCACCCACACAATAGACCCGTGATGTCGCCGTTTACTGTCTCATCCTTTGCCTCCACAGATCTACGGCCATTACTAATACCCCTTTCGACAGAGACTGAGATTAAACTGTCGGCGTCGCCCGAAAATGCTTCCCATCCCTTTGATTTTCTCACACAGAAAAAGTTTCTTATGTTGAAACTGAATTTTAAGATATGCAGTGGGCTATTTTAGTTTTCATTTTCATATTCGCCTCTGTATTCAGATTATTTCTTGGGTTTGGTTAAATTAAACTGCTTAATCTCGTAGCTATTTGTATCCCGCGCATGTGCTGGAAAGATGGAGTGAGGGAGAAGAGAAGATGGTTTTAATGGTGGAAAGTTGGGGAAAGAAGAAGATCGGATGAAAATAAACTATTTTAGTGGGAAATACACAGTAGGCGTGTGCATTTCACTACTGAGCACAGATGTGGCAGTGTCATTTCAAGGTGTTATTAATTCCATTTAAAAAGGTTGGGGGGATAATAGGACCCCCTCAAAAAATCGGTGTGTAATTGAAATTTCGACCATAATATAGTTGGGTACTTATGCCTTTTCTTGTCCTGATATGGTGGGATTGAGTGGAGCTGTATGCAAGTTGGCATGAATACCACAGTTACAAAAAAAAAAAAAAAGTAGCTAACCATATTGGTTCTCTAGAATTAGTATTGTGACAGTTCCAATATCGTTGTCCTTGAGCCGAGGGTCTTCAGAAACAGCCTTTCTACCTCCACAAGACAAGGGTAAGGTCTACATATACACTACTCTCCTCAGACCCCACATGTGGGATTATACTCGATATGTTGTTGTTGTATATGGTGGGATTGAGGAATGCATAATCAAATGCAGTCGTATCTTCTACCTCTCTTTGCTTACCATATAGCATTTTTTTATCGATAAGTAATTTACCATAGAGCATATTAATTGATGAAATCTCAACTTTTATGAAAATGGCAAATCCATGTAGCTTCTCTTGGATCTAATTTTTTCCTAGGCTGAAATATATAACATGTGCCACTAGATCTGATCACACTAAAATCTGCCAACCTTAGAAGTATATTTCTATCTTTTCAGGCCTTTCTTTATGTTAAATTTCCAGGGCCTCAAATATCTGAGTTAATTTAATGAGATATAATTGTGCCAAATGTTAAAAGTTGGGGATGGCACATAAACTGCTTCACATAGATTTTTTTTGATGATGTAAACTGCTTCACATAGACTTCTTACAATTCTATTGATTTTGTAGCCTAAATGGATCCAAAATGCTTAACAAATTAGATCTGCACATGTCAATTAGCAGCTTCGTACTCTATAGTCTATCCAACAAATTTGTTTGATTTTACAAGCCAGTTGAAGTCATGCTGTGAATGGTAAAGCTTTTCCCTTTATTCGTGGTCAACCGAGATCTACACCAATCTACCAATTTATCCCAAAAAAAAAAAAGGAAAAAAGCAATTTACCTGATTTACCCCATCTTCATTCTTATAAGTTGCCCAGATTACCTTTAAATAAAATTACTAAGAGAAACACTAACCCAATTGTTTCAAAAAAAAATTAGAAGCTAGGCGCAAAGAAAACTAAAGGGTGTCTGCTATTCTTTTCTGTTTGACAGTAGCAGGGAATGGCAGAGATTAACTGAACCATCCTTTAAGATGCCCATAACCAATACCCTCCCATACTATTACGTTTTCTAGGTTAAGCAATCAAATAGAATCATATTTTGACAATAGCATGAAAGAAAGAGGTGCATAAGAAACTGTGAGAACATACAGATGTGACACAACAATATGAATAAAAACTACAATATCAGGAGACAAAGTCATAAGACCAGTTTAAGAAGAAAATAGCTGTTAGGTTACCAAATGATCACCAAATCATAGCACATGTTGATACTAAAGATTAGCTTTTCATTATAAGCATAGAAGGTTTACATGTCACTGTCATTCCTCCATAAAGAGAAGTAAAAAAGAGGACGCACCGGGAAATTTCTCACGAAATATAACAAGTTCTCCAGTGATATGAATCCGGCACCCCTATCAAAACCAATCAGATATGTTAGTGGTGAACCAAGACCAGAAGGACCGGGGGTTGTATGTGTGTGGGAAAGGGGGGGAGGGGGGGTGAACTCAGAAAAATATGTTTAGATAAGCTCTGATATCAGCCATTCCCTGTGTTTGGGGTGGGGTTGGGGGGTGTTGGGGAGGGGGGTGGAATGATGATGATGTACCTAAAGTCAGTAGATGGATCTTTCCCTTGCCAGCCCATTTCCTTCCACTGCTCAGATACTAAACCATGGAGTTCTTCCTCAGGGAAGGCAGCTTTCCACAATGCTCTTAAAGCTTCCTTTTGGGTAGGGAGAGACGAAGATGAACAGTAGGAAATGTAAATTTTAACCTTAACGTAATGTTTAAAGCCTTAAAGATGTTATCTCATAAGTTCATCAGGAAACAGCTAAGATTTCAAATAGAGGATACCTGATGTTCTGGAATTGAACTATCATATGCAACATCTATACGGTTTTGTAGCCTTAGCAAGCATTCCTCCTGACATTAACAAAGTGGAAGAGAACACCAATAAGCGCCAATGTGCCAAAGATATACCATACTTCCTCACAGTGCTGTGAAGCCTATCAATCTGAATAACATAATCTCTAAGAATAAAACTGGATAATTGACGAAATGGGAAATTGAAAATAGAAAGTTATATTAGCAATCAAATCAGAGCTATAAGATATGCATGCCTGAGAATTGGCACAATATAAAAGATAGTTAAAGCATATGTGAACCTCAACATGAGCTCAATTGGCAGACTGAATAAGAAATCAGATATAAGATATTCATGCCTGAGACTTGGCACAATTTAAAAGATAGTTAAAGCATATACGAACCTCAACATGAGCTCAATTGGCAGACTGAATAAGAAATTAGATACTCCCTCTGTTTCAATTTAGATGAGGTACTTTGACTCGGCACGGAGTTTAAGAAAAAAGAAGACTTTTGAAATTTGTGGTCTTAAAAGCTTAAGGGGTAAAAGCTTCGTGGGACCATGATTTTTGTGTGTTATAAAAGCTTCTCATTACGGGTAAAATGGGTAAAATGAAGAGTTTAAGGTTGAACTATTTCCAATTGTAGAAATGTGTCATTCTTTTTGGAACAGACTAATAAGGAAAGTGTGTCATCTAAATTCAAACGGAGGGAGTATAAGATATACATGCCTGAGACTTGGCACAATTTAAAAGATAGTTAAAGCATAGACGAACCTCAACATGAGCTCAATTGGCAAACTGAATAAGTAAATAGATATAAGATATTCATGCCACAGATTTGGCACAATGTAAAAGATAGTTAAAGCATATGCGAACCTACAATGAGCTCAATTGGCAGACCGAATAAGAAATTAGATATAAGATATTCATGCCTGAGACTTTGCACAATTTAAGAGATAGTTAAACGTCAACATAAGCTCAATTCGCAGACTGGATAAGAAACAAAATAAAATTCACTACCACTCATAACACTCAGCATAAGGAACCAAATAAAAGTCACTACCACTCGCAACACTCAGCATATTCCCTTTTCGTTGGAACGGTGAAGTGTATAATCTTGGAGAAAACAATCTGAACTAGAAAACAAATTTGTGTTGCAAATTGGCAGTACCTCTAAGAAATCCTATCCAGAATACAAACTTTCAATAAGAGAGGATCAAAAGAACATAATACTGCATTGCGTTTTATGACACTCTTAAAATTTACCTAGCAGGAAGCTTAAACTTCATTTAAACCCCTACACTAGACTAATACCTGGACTGGTGTCAAATCAAATGATGGACGAGCATCAATATCTCTTGTCTGGGCACAAACACATGAAAGGCCTCTGCCAAGCCATGCTGCTGATCCTGCCACAACCTCTGTAGTGACAGAAGGAAAAGATAATCTAAGGAAAATGGGAGCTCTAGAGTTTTCAATAACGGCATGCTTCTAGTATTATGAAACAAAAGAAGATTAGACGCAAGAAGAGAAGTATCCTTTTTTTGTGACAAGGAAAAGAAGTGTATCTTTCTTGACACATAGAGAAGACAACTCTAAATCATATAAGCAAAGTTTCATAACTAACAATGAAGTGTCAAGAATGCAACAATTCAGCAACTATGATGAGGTTCAATTTTGTAATTAGGATATTACCATAATACAATCACAATACACGCATAGGTACCAACATGATGTTACAATACAAACATAATGGGCTACACTACTCGGCTAGATAGTAGAAATCTTACCTCCCAAAATTGGTCATTGAGTAGTGAGAACATGAGCATACTTTTTTTGCTTTATCATTGTTTAACCAAGGAAATGTATTGGTAATGAGAGATAAGCACCAAGAGAGTGCTGTTACAAATGTACAAAAACAGCATGAAACCTTGATCATAACTATGCCATTCGAGTGTCTTAACATTTATGAAATAGCCTTCTTTAAGAACAACAAGAAAAAAGAAATCACCTCCCAATATGGAGCACAAGACAAGAACCACATTCACACAATTTTACCAGAAAATTGCCTTTTACAGTTGTTTCACAAAAAATAATTTCACCATTTCAAAACTAAAACCAGATGCAATTGTGTGATGTAAATTCTTCAAAGAAAGAGGGGGAGAAAAGCTCTGTCACAGCTGTTTAAATTAACTGATCACAATCCTGCTTTCTGATAAAGTGCAACCCCTCAGATCAACAGCTATTACTTCTAACAGTCTGGTTAGCTAATCATAATCATATACATATATATATATATATATATATATATAACCTCCAAAAGTTAACCTCAATGACCTAGTACATTCACAAGCACTCCTTTCTAGTGTTCTTGTCCATTCTAGAATTATCAGGTATAGTTGGAGTCAATAAAAGCTACATTCCGCACATTTCCCTATTGAAAAGGTCAACAGCAGGCATTCATTTTAGCCTACAAAGCAAAACTACTATGAAACAACAGTAGTTAGATCATGTATAACAATTTCCATATATTGTTAGTGAAAGCTCCTTATCTGAAAAAAATGTTGGTGAAAGTATTTTTTCTTAGAGAACCAAATAGCAGGGGCAGATGTAGTGTTAATGCTATTGGTTAATCTGAACCTAGTAGTTTGGCTCAAACCTTGTATATACGTTATAAGATTCACTAAATAATTACAAATAATAGATTTCAAACCCAGTAAATCAAATGGCCCGTGATAGAATTGCGAACACGAATCCATAAAGTTCAAATCATGGATCCTGCCAAGTAGACAGCTCTATAGCTACTGCCATTCTTTTCCAGCAGCAGCTTAACTAATAGTAATCCATTGAATCAAAAGTCATTCCTCAAATTTTACCGAAAAAATAACTTAATTACATAAACAAAGGAATCCATTTCCCAAATCATATAGTAATATGTTCCGATGTGCACGTGTATAGTATAGTATTTAGTGCACACAGATTCATGCATCTATCTCAACACAAAACTAGGGCACGAAAAATCAAAATTGCGGAAAAAGCAAGCAACGGACGCAAACTCACGACAAATGTCAATATTAGCACGCATGAGTAAACCTAATTCCAATCCACAGATAGAAACTCAGATAATGAAAGCAGTACGGTAAAAGAGGTGGAGAGAGAAAAAAGGAACATGTGTTTGCGTTGTAAAAGTAAAAACAGGAATATATATATATATATACCAGAAGAAGTAGAATGGCAAGTAGTACTATTTCCTCTTTCAAATCCTTGTGATATCCTCCGAACTGCTACGAACGATTCTCCTCTATCGTCCATTTTACCAATTTCAATGCTAACACTAAATCCGAACGATCACTGTATCGAAGTCAATGCGGACAGTTGAAAGTTTCCTTTTCTAGAACTGAACCAAAATGTTGAAAAAAATTGGATAGCGGATTCGGTTTCTTGAATAGAAATGGAAGATCCCTTCGTCAAAGCCGCAAGATCTGCTATGAGAATGAAAGAAAAATATCTGGAAAGTTTCTTTTTAATATAGATACTCCATATGTTAAGTATTTACGGCCAGCTAAGAGCTAGCAGAGTTGTGTGTGTGCGTGTATATTTTGAGAGATTCTTGATACGAAATTCTCGTTCCTAGATTTTTCGGCCTAGCAATCACGGAAAATGACTGAGGTTGGGGTGGGGGTAGCCAAGGGGGTGGGGGCTGAGGGTGATATGAGCAGTTTGTTGAGTTGGGTGGCCTTCTTGTCCGTTATTGGAGTAAAGATTTTGGGATTTTTTTAATTCCTATATATTATTTGAAACTTTATTACCTTTTATATCCATGTTTAGTTAATTACTCTCCGTAAATAAGTTTTGTTTATAAAATATATACAATACACCTTAAAAAGCTCCAAATCCATTATTTGTGCCTTCAATCAAGGGATTTAGTTATACCCTTTTCCTTTTTTCTCTTCTCTCCCCTCTTCTCTCCAGATTTTGTCTTTCTCCTTCATTTTCTCGAATTCCTATAATACAACATCAAGAAAATTCCCATAGTTGTAAATCTTAAACAGTAAAGTGCAATTACTGAGTATGCTTGAACATTACCTCTTTGTAAAGTAGTGAGCTGCTAGTGGGAACACCCAAGAAAAGCCATGCCAAACCGTTGAACTGTACGCTAGCAAATTCATATCATTCAATCGAGTAGTTAGAAGAGAGAATGCCATTGAAATCAAGTCGTATATGACAATGATATTCTATCATTAGCTGTGTCTGTCGTTCAAAGCCTTGCAATAAACTGATGCTGGATATTTTAGGTGTTTAAAATCGGTCATCTTTGGCTCAAATAGCACTTAATAATTCACTATTTCGAAGATTCTACAACTCAAACTTTTGTGCTTAACTTGACTTCATTAGATAGAACACTTTGATGGTTCATAATATCTCGAGTAAACAATTTTCCAACTAAATCTGCTAACTTCACCCATAGTTAGGCCTGCTTATCGGGCGGATTGGGCGGTTATTTACTCTTAACGGTTTGGCTTATCGGTTATCGGCTTTTAAATGTATTAATCCGCTAGCCACCCGATAAGATCGGGCAGATTGGTATCGGTTTAGCTCTTATCGGGCGGTTATCGGGCGGTTTATCGACCTAATTCAATCTATATTGCGTGCATTAATTGTTTGCTGACCGGTGACTCAAAATAGAAAACTGAGAAAAGAAAAACGAGAAATTAGAGTAGCAGCTTTCCAATTTTAAGTATTAAAATAGTCGTCAATATGAATTCTCCAAACTCTCAGCTCAGGATAATTCAGTTACTCTATCATCATCTTGATTACACCTCACAATCATATATAATATATACACCTTTTTCTTTTAACTTTCATCACTAATATTCTTCGAGAAAGAAGTTAAGATGCCGTACTAGTGAATAAGCATTAGAATACTGACATCAGCAACAACGAATTAACGATATGAGATCTTTTCTGTAGTAATACATACATACATACATACATATATACATACATACATATATATATATATATATATATATATATATATATATATATATATATATATATATACATATTCTTAACGGGTTAACGGATTATCCGTTAAGAAAATTGAATAATTTGCCCCCAAAACGATAAGCCGTTAATAAAAAAATTCAATCTGTTTCCCGTCCGTTAAACCGTTAACCCGATACCAATAAGCCATTAAGCTTCGGTTTCGATTCGGTTTTGAACACCCCTACCCATAGTGTACATTTACACCAATCACAGTTGGATCAAAAAGTATAATTGAGCAGATTTGAAGTTTTAGCAGATTTCAAATTAAATTCAATCGCCTCCAAACTTTAAATTCAACTTTGTATTAGTATTTCCAACAAGAATCTATGCTGCCCAGTTAATTTCTCACACAAAATTCAAATTTCACATAAAACTCAGTTTCTCCGAAGTGCGACGGGGGCGCTTTTAATGTGAAACTCGAAATTTCTCCACCAAAATCATTCAATGCTCATAAATATTCAAGTTTTTCCGTTCAAACAAAAATGAATCAGTACACATGAGTTGATTTGGAACTTATTCTCTACCTTTCTTTCCTTAATAAATCAACTAATCAGAAAAGAACAATGTATGGTACTTCAACATACGAATTAAAATAAATTTCGCACAAAATTAATGGAAATTTGAATATGTACAACAATTTACATAGTAAAAATAAATTTTATACAACTAATTATATAGTATACAACTTATCTACAATTTGCATACATTATTTTTTTCCCAGTAAAATATATCTAAAATATCATACAACTTAAATACAATTTTTATACAAATTTTATACAATATGTCTTTTGTATATTTTGTATCTGATTTATACATAGTAAAATAAATTCCATACAACTAATTATATATTATACAACTTATCTACAAATTATCTACAACGTATCTACAACTTTCATACATTATTTATACCCAGTTATATACAACTACAATATCATACAACTTAAATACATTTTTTATACAATATTGTTCAACTTTCATACAATACTTAAATTAATATATATATATATATATATATATATATAACAGAATATAATTTTTCTACAATTTTACTACAATTTCTGCCGTATAATGTATGTCATGTCTTCTTCTTCGAGTTTCAATCTGAAATTCAGCCAAAATCAGGTCTAACTTTCACCAAAACACCCTCAAAATTGAGATATAAACTTCAAATCATATTCCCAATTGTTTGCAACAACACCAATCCAAACAAATAATGATTTTTGAAAACTCAAATTCGAATTCAAAGCTTTAAAGCTTTTTAATGGTTGTCAATGGTGGAATTGCTGCTCTCTTTTCCTTTGCTTTATATTACTGGAATTAGGGATTGAGAGATAGAGAGAGAGAATTCCCAATTGTTTGCAACAACACCCAATTCAAACAAGTAATATTTTTTGAAAATCCAAATTCGAATTCAAAGCTTCAAAGCTTTTTAATGGCTATCAATGGTGTAATTGCTGCTCTCTTGTGCAAGATACGTGGGGGAGGGGGGATGGGATGTGGAGAGAGAAACGTGGGGGGGGGGGAGTGAGATAAAAGAGAGAAAACGGGGGGGGGGGGAGGCGGGGGGAGTGGGAGTGATTGTAGGAATTGATTAATTATCCTTAAATCCTAAAAATGTACATAATTGGTAATTTTGTATATAGGAGGTAATTAAAGTGAAACTTGAGTAGGGAGGGTAATAAAGTTTCCAATAGTGTATATGTAGGTAAAAAAATCCAAAGATTTTTAAGTAAAAAGTACTTCTACATCGACTGTGTAAAATAATTTTCGAATTATCGAATCATTAACTTAATGGAATTAGAAATTGATGAAGATACGTTATATGCTAAAACAAGTTAAAATATAGTGAGAGTATAAAAAATATTTTAACTGTTCGGTGTAGAAGCTTTTTATATTTTATTTATTAACACAGGTTAGTTATTATCATTTTTTCACTAAATGAAAAAAGGAGATTAAGGCCTCATTTGTTTTTTTTAAGATTAAGACATCTGAATCTGAATATACATCTGAATATCAAGATGTGTATTAAGATTAAGACATCTGAATAGATTAAGATGTGTATTAAGATCTACATAGAAATAATTAAGACTGTTTGATTTTTAACATCTGAATGTATAAAGTTTATCTTTATTTGAAAATTAATAAACTTAAAATTCAAATGAAATAACTAATCTAATATTCTATCAATAAAATATATAATTTTTTTAAAATATGATAGTTGTTGGTGGTGACGGCTAACGGGTGAATGCTGACTAGAGGCGATGGTTGGTGGTAGTTTTGGTTGATGATGGCGGTTTATGCTGGTAGCTAGTAATGATTGGTAGTGGTGGCGATTATGATTGTGGATGATGGTGGTGGTAGGTTATAACATGGGCAGTTTCGGTTGTGGTTGTTGATGGTGATGGGGTGGTCAGTTGTGATAGTTGAGGTGGATGAGTGTTAATTGTGGGGGAGTATGATGGTGGTCGGAGTGGTGGGGATAGTGAGTGGTGATGGTCGATAAAGGTGACGGCTATGATTGAGGATGATGGTGGCGTGGTGGTGGTGGTGGTGGTTGAGTAAGGTGGTGGTGGCGGCATGGTGGTAGTTGATAATGATAGGCGGTGTCAGCAGTTAATAATGAATATTTGATAGAATCTTAATGAAATTAAGTCTCTGTTATAGATCTTAATCATACAGACCTATTCAAACCCATTAAGTGGTTGTAAAGTAAAAAAAACAAACACACTTAATGATTAAGATCTGAATAATTAAGATTCAGACTTTAAAAACAAACGCACTTAATGTCTGAGATCTGAACGATTAAGATTCAGACCTCCATTAAGTGCAAACAAATGAGGCCTAAAACCGAAATATAGAAAATTGTTTGTCTCCATTGAGTTTTGGGAGTGGCTCCCCAGTCCTCTCCATTCACTATTTTTCCGGCTTTATCACGTAGTAACTGCTCCAAATTATATTGTTCGATTGTCTTCGGGCCAAATTCTACAGCGTGGTGGTTAGATTGGCTATGTGCCTGTTTGGATTTGCTTATTTTAAGTGCTTTTAAGCCAAAATAACTTTTAAGCTATATTATAGTGTTTGGATAGAGTAAAAAGTACTTTTAAGTCCTTGTTTTTAAGCTTAAATGACAAAAACAAGCCAAAAGCTAGAATTCCTAACTTATGGCTTATAAGCTATTTTGACTTAAAAGCCATTTAAAATAAGCCCATCCAAACGGGCTCTATGTTGTATGGAGTTGAGTGTTGGCCCGTCAAGAAGTTACATATTTAGAAGATGAGCATAGCTGAAATGAGAATATTGAGAGATTATGAATGAAGTTATTAGGGACAAGGTGGGAGTGGCATCCGTGGAAGACAAGTTGTCGGAATCGAGGCTGCGATGGTTTAGGCATGTGAGGAGGAGAGATATAGATTCCCCGGTCAGGAGGTGTGAGAGGTTGAACATGGCGGGCTTGATGAAAGGCAGGGGTAGGCCAAAGAAATATTGGGGAGACGTGATTAGGCAGGACATGTCGGTGCTTCACCTAACCGAGGACATGATTAGCGATAGGAAGGTGTGTAGGTCGGGATTAAGGTGGTGAATTGACAGATAGTTGTGACTTTCTCCTTGGTTTACAAGTAGTACTAGTAGTATTCTTGTTGTTGGTTGAAAGATACTTTC